TTGGCATTGTCACAGCCAGTCATTTTTGCATGCAAATAAATTTTAATGTGGAAGCATGCCCTCTAACTCATAACCAAACCGGAAGCTTTAAACGCTTTTATACATATTAACAAAATATTTATTACCTAATTTAGCTCATTACCACAAATCAATTAAACAAAACCTGTAATGGTTCGTACCTGAGCGTCGTCGAGGTCCACTCGGCTTCATTTCTTGAGATATGTCAAAGTTTGCGCAGTTCTCACCGGTGATAATGTTACGGGCTAAAATATCAGATTTGCAATTAAAACTTATGAATAGAGACTTTCTAAATAAAATAAAGTCAAGCGTCCTAACCGCATGCTCCGTCGCCCACTCAACAGTTGTGACGCCGCATGCAGTCTGGGCGGCTTGGTTAATAAAAGCGACTCACTCGATCGCGGCGTCTTTGGTGTTAAACCACCGCTTTGCCTCTCCTCCATTGTGATTGCGAATGTTTTTGCATTTTCTCCAGTCAGAGGATTGCAACGAATAGCTAAATTAAACGAAACATCGTTCAGCTTCTATCAACTTTCTGTAAGCGTTGACAATCGAAACCGAAAGCAGCAATTGCCTTGTGGTCGCGCTTTGGAGGCAGCTGTTAACTTGAACGGGAAATCATAAGATTCTTTGTTTAAAGCAAACTCCACGTATGCGCTCCAACTTAAAAAAAGTGGAAATTTCAACTCTGCTTTAAAATCACTCCGAGTACTGCAATATCTCTGATGCACAATTTGAGCATTCGTGTGAACGTGTTACAATGAGTTGAAGGCTACCTGTTGAACTCCGTGCTCGTCGCGCTCGACCGTTGTACTTCCAGATGGGATCCCATTCGCGTTCACCAAAATCGCCCTTTCCTGATATGGGATCTCTCTGAGCTGCAAAGTATTGCGTCAAATAGAGTTGTATCACTTCGCCACTTAACTGAAAATGTGCGTTTCCCTTCCTGCATGGTAAAAATTTTGATAATTTTTATCGCTAAATGCGAGGCAGCCTCTAATCTGCTCATTCTGTATCACAAACCATGTACAAGTTGATCGTGAAGGATCCAATCATTATTCCGTATGCGATCAGGTCCACTGACTTTTACGTTCACTTTTAATGACTTCACATTTGGCTGCTCCTAGTGGGAAACTCGCCGTCAACAGTTGTGTTGTTGTTAAATCAGCAAGCTACTTGCCCAATTCCCAATCTTTTCGGCAAAATTGTTGTCTCCAATGCTTGATGTAACAGACCAAGTCAATCGAATGCCCTAACTTCGATAGGATTGGTGCTAAGTTGACACATTTGGTGATTATAAAAGCTCTAATAACGGATCATGCTATGGAGGAGGAGTCAACTTGCATAAGGGTTAAGAGGACGCCAATAGCATCAGATTGTTAAGTCCAAATTCTTACGTCCACGAGTCGAACTCTTCCTCGGTCGCGAGGTGCAGCGAAGGGAGTCAACTTCCTCTCCCAAATTGCCTGTCAGGGCAATCGGGTTGCGAGCTGGAAAGTAGGAACAGAGCTGTGCCGTTAGCATTAAAGCACAATTGGGTACGACTCGAATTCCGCATACGCATAAAGGAGGAAGCCTAATGAACTCGATGGAAAAGGAAATTGAATAGCGGACATAGGAGTGAATAAGCTATTAACAGTTTTATTGCATCGGTGATGAAAAGATAGGTACATTTAAGACAAAGACTTCAATGGTTCCCTTTATTTGAATGCAATAAGAGGATTTTTTGGACGCCATCTTTCTGATGAATTAACTCACCCAATTTGCTATCACCCTTGGTGGAATTCTGACTAGACTTGGGTAGAAGAGCTGCTGTATCTGCATCCCAGCTGAGTAATGTCTTGTTGAAATCTGGAATACATTTGAAGGAAGACAGTTCGTCAAATAAGGCAAAATGGCTAAGAGTAGCCAATCAAAGCTGCTGGGTGGGGAGAGATTTAACTTTGAAAGAGATTTAGAAAGATTGTATGAAGAATCACAACGATGCGAACATTCAACTGCCCCAAAGTCAATTTCAATGGATGCAAGAATGAGGGTCGCCCTCCCATTTGTGCCCCGATAAAAAATTTAATGCAACTGTGCCACCTTTTCCGCCCTCGAGGCCAGTAGAAATGGCGACTCTGAGGACCTTGAAAAAGGGCAACAAGTCAACGGGATGATTTACGTTACTTTTCTTATTCTGATGCGACGTCTTTGGTTTCCCAAAATCGCAGTGCTCCTTCGGCAGGTCCCCAAGTCCAGCAATAGGATCGCGCTTCACAACTTTTAACAAAAAGCAAACCAATTAATTGAGTAAACGGAATGCCAGTTTTGTTTATTAAATGACATCTGGTGTGATTTGGTCAGTCTACGTGAACTTCACTTTCGAGCGCGTCTAGTACTACCCATACGAAGTATTCCATCTGCCTTTCGATTGCATTAGCCTTGAAGCAGATGACGAATCAAAAAATTTGGGCTAAATTTGGTTTTATCTCACGGCAACTTATTATGCACCTATTTATGAGAATGTATGACTACATACCACGGTTTTTCAGACCCGTTTCAAGATCAACATGTGGAAGCGATTTTCGTAGTTCCTCGACATTGCCACTGATGTCTGATAGGCCTATTAACAAAAGAAACAAAATTCCACATCATCTTTCTTGATTATCGTAGAGCCGAAGCTCACATTATTTCTAAATATGCATCTTAAAGCAACTTCACTTCTCCTGCCTTTGGAGGCGTCTGCCTTCATCAACTTCGTGAAATTTGCATCCATTACAAAGGTAAAGTGTCAAGTTCTTATACCCGTCCAGACAGCTAGTTGATGTGAAATCCGAATGAAAGTGTATTTCTACTAACGTCGAACATTGTAAAGCTGTCTAACGTTAAATATGGCAAGAAAACTCTATACGATGGGAAAACAAGACCCACCTTGTTGTCCAGCGACGGTCGTCATTTTAAATGTCTCTGAAAAGTTAAAGCATGATCAAGGAGGGGCAATTTTGAACAATAAAAACCTTTCTAGTTAGATGCAAATGTAGATCTACTATTGGTTGCGGTATTGACTTAAAAATACAAATGAAGCTAAGTTAAATTCGTAGATAAAATTGACATATGAGCTGACTTTACGGAATTCCCTCCTTCTCAATGGAGATTTGGCACAGATTCTCACACTCATTAAATTGTCTGCGGAAATGCCATAGCTCGACTAAATCCAGCCCAAAGCTGTCAACTGTACCAGTACTGGATGCTTGGATGTAAAATGGGGCAAGCATTGAGTGAGTGGAGTGGAAAGCAGGGCTTACTAAGGTCTCGATCCGGAGAAACGTCAGATCGAAGTCGGCACGACGACGCACTGCCTGACATACAGACGCAGCGGATATCTTCGCGCACGCGCGCCAGCCAATCAGAGAGCCACTACCGGCTGGCTCAGTGCGCCCAATGGCTCGGCGGCTCGAGTGTTAGTCACTCCCCAGTAAACGTGGGATGGCGATGGGGGTGAGGGGCTCGCCAATTCTTCTAGTCCTCTGCCTTGGCCATAGGGGATCCATTAGCGGGATGGGAAAACTTGCTACAGTTGTAGAGCCATTCCTGTGCCAATTAAACACGCCGCGTATCAACTTCAACTAGATTGGGCTTCGCATTTGCCATTGTTCGTCGGATGATCAACGCTTAATTGAATTTGTCACAAGAAAATCATTGCAACTTTAGGAATGGGGACAAATACGGAATTTTATGTAGTGGCAGCGCGACTAGGAGTCGCAACATTTGTCAAACATTGGAGGATTCGATGTGGGTTGAAGGTGAATTGCATAACCACCACGTACCTAAATCTCAGCACTAACCTCCCTAGGTCAGCTTACGTAAATCAGTAGTTAATGCTCCATTTTCCACGGATGTAGATCATACGCTAGATACCATCTACATGGTAGCACGATGTTCGAGGAACGACAGGGGCCAAAGGGGAACTCTACTCTGGGTAGATTTAAAGAGGAAGTAGAACAGTAGAAAAGAATGCAAGGGCAAGAAGACAGCTGCACTCCCACATGGTAAGTATAAGCTATAACTAAAGGTCAGGGCACAATATAAATTGGCTTAAATTTAAAACTCAAATTAGCAAAACTGGTTTTTTAGTTGGTAATAACCTAAGGCAAAGAAAGCGCCTCATAAGCATGTCCCCTTTAATGAGCACTAAGTATGACTACGACGTTCTGTATGATGCCTTGATGTGCCTATCTAGGAAAGGTTGAATAATTCCACATTTGATGGCTGGAACTCATCAAATTCCATCGAAAATGATTGCTTTTTACCCAAATTTTTTAGCCCTTAAAATGAGACTAAGGGTAGCGAGACCGTGGAACCAAATTCTGGCACCACCATAAAAAGCAACGATCGCTGCCATCAAATGAGTGCGCGTCCACAGTTCCTCGGTTCCTCATCCCACCATGTAGTGGCGGTTGGTGCACTAAACACTATTTTGCCCTTAATATTTGTATATTTCAATTTGTTTACGATTAGTGAATTTGAGCATGGTGAAATGCAAGGATAGATTTCTTCCACTTCACTTAATTTGGGCGCCTATCTTGCTTATGCAGTAGGCACTGTTGGCATTCTCGCACTCCTGCTGCGTTTTCCTTCCAACTTGTTATAAGCATATGACCGTTATAAAAACACCCGCTTTGAGACATGTCGTCGTACTAACTTTGGAATTGCATTAACTCCCATTTTGATCCCATGGAAGTAGGAGGAACATGTAGACAGGCGACCCTTTGGCACTGAACGGTGGAGAAAGTTAATGATTCCCAATAGACTGGAGCCGAGTTCCAGGATTTCGGATAATGCTCCCATTTTATGCATGAAAAATGTTGCTGACTTTGTACAGACTTTAATCAGCACAGTAAATTGCTCTGAATTAGCACAAATTTACGCAACTTGTGATTTCAGTGGTTATAATGCCAGTGAAATCTTGTCGTCTTATAACGAATGCTTGACGTTATGTGAGATAGTTTTTTCAGCTGCAATTGCGATATGTAAGATGAGTGCTGTTTGGAGTTAAATGGTAACAAGACGTGGAGTCCCAGGGTTGCCAGAGGCTGTAGTGGCTCCTACCATGGTTCAGAGGCCAGGCTTCCATAGGGAGGTACGACAGCAGAGCCTGATCGGTCTCGTTGCCATTTGGGAGATGAAGAAGTATGCATCATTTTGACATTTAACTATCCTAAGCAAAGGGGAAAAATAAAAACCATGTTGACGACTGGTTTGGTAGGAATGACAGTTTGAAAGATGATCACTTTTTATTTGTAAATCACTATAGGTTGTTAAGTTGAAAATGTTAGAAGGGGTTTGACGCACAAATTGATTCACTGTTCAGTAAGCACAAACTTCAACGCCTCCAGTTTCCACTTTAAAGCGCCTCCACTTGTAGACTGATTTTATTAACTGCCTACGTCTCTTACTTGTATTTACCGGTACCACTATCATGTCACGATGGTTAATTAGAGTCTGTTGAATGCATAAAAATAATGGTGATGGTCAACTTCAATTCGAAATGTTGCAACTCCATGCCCTGCAGTGGTGACCCTAAGGCGTGGCGTTCTGACCCTCACCCTGCCTTAGTCAGCCTCCATGGCCATTGCAGATCGTCTACTATGCTGGCATAATTTTTTACAATTGCGGGAGAAATGTGGCGGCGCCGATGTTGTGCGTAAAGGCAGTTGTAAAGTTGAGCATTTTGATGCAAAGCAACTGTTAGGGTTGCAGTTCATTGGTAATATTGCTGCCCAATGAAAGTGATGACGATTTCCTTTCGCAAAGTGGTCTGACGGTGCAAGTCGGTGGCATGCTCTTCGAGCTGATGTTAGACATCACTTAATTGTAATATTAATACAAAATATGCCTTTTTTCTACCTGCATTTTGTCTTTAAATAATAACAAAATCACGAACTTTGGAACACTACCAGAGAGGATGCGTTCAACAAACGAGAACCATCACGATCGTCAATTATTCTCCCCAATTGGTAGACGATTTCACATGGCATTGAGGACCGCAATATCAGCATGGATTATAGCAAAAACGACCCTTAGTCCATGTATCTCAGCAACACTGAAGCGTCCTACCAAACATACGCGAGTTGTGCAGACGCTTGGTCAACTCGACGTACGACGCATGCAATTTCCCTTGGGCTCTCAACTCCCTCACGACTCAGGAAATAATGACTTCGTCTCATTATGCATTTTGAAACACAATTTAGCAATTGAGAATGCTTGCCTAATCAAGACAACTCAAGGAATTGCAAACTGAAGCAGAAGCGACCACATTATTCCAGTAAATATGAGAAGTGTAAAATGGCATTGCAGGTTTTTTCTCCAAAAGGGATGAGACCTTGTAGCATGGTCACTATAAAAAACTCCACTAAGCTCACCACAAAAACGATAAAGATTTGTACATGGGTGAGTGTATGGCACGCTTCATGTCTAAAACTAAAACCGCAAAAAATACAACGCCTTAGTCTATTACCAAAAGGTTGAGTTAAGAGATTGCTTTGCATTCTCACCATTGTTCTTCCTCTAACAATCATTTGATCAACAGGCCGTAAGGCTAATCCAAATATACATCGGATGTTGAATGTATGAATTTTCATTTTAGCACTGCGTAAAAAGTTAATTAGGAAAAGGTCCTACAGCTCTCCAAGAAGCACTATTTAAAGTACGATCAATCTACTAAAAACATCCACGCACACAAACTGCGCATGTTCGCCAAGTAGAGGATTGGAGGGTGCTAAAAGAAAGCAGCCAAATGCAACGTCAGGTGAAGTTTA